ATATTTGCTATTTTTAGGGAGAAATTTCTCTCTATGTAGGTCGAGTCCAAGAGACTTGGGGGTTGTTTTGTTCGAAAACTAAGTATACATGTATTAGTTATGCTGAAATTATTTCTTATCAACTGTTTAGCTTGTTCTATAATTTTTTTTAATCCACTGTACAATTCCTAAGAAAAGTTAGTTCTTTACACTACCCTTGATCATCTTAGCTTGTAAAGTTTCTTTACAAAGCTTGATTATCTCTTTATTTAGAAAAAAATGACACTGTATAGCCGCTGTAAAAATAATAACCAAAAAATATATAAAATTTGTATATTATATATATACATTATGTATGTTAATACAAAAATTATACAAATTTTATATTATTTTCGACTACCGAAAATAGTACGTTCAAGGTAGGGGTAAGGTCTGCATACACTATCTACCGGACCTCACTTGTGGGATTACATTGGATTTGTTATTGTTGTGTATGGTATTACTAACTAGCCACTACTCAGATTGCCGTTGTATAATTATAAATTGCATATTCAATGACTTACCCCGCAACACCCTGTCCAATAAGGAAAATATAAATGCGAATAATTATAAGTACTCGACTGAGGATTCGAGCAAGATATCTACTGGGTGTGACGACTGAGTTGATGTACCATTCGCTTGAAAGAAAATCAAAAGATTTGTTAAGACTAAAAAGATTTTTTTTTTAGAATCAAAAGAACTAGTGCCGACTTTATACTTTTTGAAAGAAACACGGTCTTCAATATTAGCTTGGGTAAGAGGGACTGTGTGAAAGTACAAGAGGGCGGTGAATTATTTATTTTTAAACTTATCAGTTGACTAGTTTTACAATTAGTCTACTAGATATAAGAACTTGATAATAGTAGACAGAATTTAATGCAGATTTTAAATGCAGGAATTAAGGGCACCAGAGTTTTTATACTGGTTCGGATTCAATGTGAATCGTAGTCCAGTCCCCTTGGGTTGCAAGGGAGATCTGTTTTAGTGAATGAGTTTCTTCGAGTACATAGAGAATGGTGTGATCTACACCGATAGCTTAGTTCCTATATCACTTGTTTCTTTTGATACAATGCCTCACCAGTGTTGTTCTCTCTTTCATCTCTAACTTGTTACACAGCAGATCTAGTAGAGCTACAATGTTTGTTTGCAGTAGAACAAAGCGAGGGTATTTGGTTCGATCAAAGTATATGGCTCTAGGGTAAAGATACAAGTTTAAATACTTTGAGAGAGGCTTGGTTTCTGGAGAGGTTTGCCAACCCAAGAGATTTAATCCTTGGAAAGAAATTGATTCTTTCCAAGAATAAGGTTATATATCAACGGCTATGCTTGACGAGAGACTTGAATGATTTTTCATATATGCTTCCCAACTCTTGCTCCTTCCAGATTTGGATACGCTCGATTTATTTGATTCCTTAAGTCTAGGCTTTGATTGATTCCGTCTTGGCTTTGATTAATTTCTCTAATCTCGGATTGCTTTCCTTAATTTTCCTGATTGATTCCTTCCATCTCGTAGCTATTCATTGATTCCTTGATCTTCTCTAATCTCGGATTGCTTTCCATAACTTTCTTGATTGATTCCTTCCATCTCGTACCTATCCATTGATTCCTTGATCTTCTCTGATTGATTCCTTCAATTTTTGAATGCTACCGTGAGTTCCTGTACATAGAACAGATATATTATTTCCATCATTAAAACAGATATATACATATAAACAACAGTTGACTCCCCTGTATTTTACTCCCCCTCAATAGGAGCAGTTCTTGTCTATGGTTATAGTTGATGATGCTTTTCTTGTCGACTCCTGCTATAGAGGATCTATGACTCCCCCTCAAAGGGTGCCAAGCTGCTAACGTGCACTTACCCTTCAGTCGACTAAACTTTATGTACATGTACAAATACATACATATAACATTCTCCCCCTTTTTGGCATCAGCAAAGAGGGAATAAGTAGAGCAGACTATGAACTAAACCAGGATTAATAGCATTATATGCAGCAGAGTTATAGCAAAAACAACCAGAACAAAAACAAAAAAATTGTCCAACGACTGATTTAACAGTCCAAAAACAGCACAGCAAAAAAATGTCTTAAACATCCACATAATGACGTAGAAAGTAGGTGAGAGTATTGCGGATGGCTTCCTTCAGTTGGTCAAAGCTGGCATTGGTTGAAACACTTATTCCATCATACCTGTCATGAACCTCCTTGAATGCCTTGACAGCGTTCTCCCTTACTCTGAGAACAGCAACTCTTATCTTGGAGACATCAGACCCTGTTTTTTTGGAGATGGCATGAATGTCACCAACAGTGGACTGAGTGGCTGTGAGGAGATCTTTAATTGCAGAGAGTTGATTGTCAATGGAACGAAGCTTTTCAGCAAGGTCAGGCTCACTAGGGCTGGGGTAAGAAGCAGAATGTTTGGGTTTGGAATCTATTGGAGTATGTTTGACTTCACCTTCTTGTTTCTTAACCCATGAACCTTTCACTCACATACCCATACTTGCAAAGGCTCTGGAATTGTAATACTTCGAAACAGAGATAAAGGGTGATAGTTTTCAATATCTTTGCCTTGTGTTTTGATAATCTAACAAACTTAATGTCAAGAACCAGATAGGAAACCTGACTCACTTGGACTACACTGCATTTAACGGATTCCATCCAAATGTGAACTGCTACAGCTTCAGGAGCTAGGAAACTAAACAAGGACCTGCTACCCTTGTGGTTCCCTCATAGAAGTACAAAGTCAGTTGGACACAACTTGAAATGAAGTGAATGCCTGCACTGTTTCTGCCGCACTACACTGTTTCCAGCGCCCACTCATTCCTGACCAACTAAAGTGCTCACATCATTTCAAGTGATGTAATCAAGGTGTATCAACATGAGTTTATATTGTAACATCACTTTAAGGTTTCAGTTTCTTATTCAAGCTTCTTGCAAAGAACAGAGAAATCAGTCCTCACGAGCTTGAAGAACAAAGTTGAATGCAACTACAGACCAGTTCCTAAAGTTTGCATGTTGTTGTCCTAGTTGAGTTGTAACTTTGTGATTGTACTTATTGTATCTCCTAAATTGCTTAGCTAGAAGCGTTGATTAGGAATCCTCTTGTAAATCCGTAAACTCCTTGAGTTTATGTTGTGACTAGGTTTAGTCAGAAGCAAAAGCCTTTGTAACTGTAGAGTGACAAAGTGGCTTGTGGTGAGAGCATCACAAGTTAGTAAAAGTCTTTGTAACTAGGGAGTCACAAAGTGGCTTGTGGTAAGAGTACCACAAGTTAGTTGAGTAAATTCTTTGTAATGGAGTCATTACAAAATGAATTGTAATAGGTTTTTACAAGTTAGTGAAGTTTAAAGCCTACAAGTGTAGGTCGTTGTTTTTTGATCCCCTTGTGTGGGAGAATCTCGTAGAGGACCAGGTACTCTACTGTTTGGTGGACTCATACAATCTAACAAAGGGATATGCAGATAGGGAAATATTGTGAGCTCCAGGATGTGAGTGATGGCCATACCATAGGGTAGACTGGTGAGATCTTCTGCACTTTCAATCATAAAGTTGATGACCCAGGAGGATAGCTTGACTTTGAGTTTGGTCACAAGACAATAGACCAGAAAGGTGTCTCTTTGAGAGAAGGTGGAGAAGGAACCAGTGCGAGGAAGCATAGTAGTTGCTACAATATGAGCCAGGACTCGAGTTTTGAAACTAACATCACTTGGGCCTAACTGGTTGGGGAGGGTTTCAGAAGAACACTCAGCAATACACCGCTTAGCTTGATCAAAGGTGATTTCAAAATCATCGGGCCAGGTATTTTTGAAAAGAATGGGGAAACCAGAACACTTACACTGAAAGATTGAATCAAACATGGCACAATCAAGAACAATGCGCTTACCTAACACTAAGGACTCCAACTTATCAGGTTTACTAGAGCGAAGATTAGCATAAAACATCTTTACTAGGGGTTCATAAACTTTAGGCGGTGGAACAGAGAGGAACTTTGACCACCCTTGATAAACAAAAAGATCTTTTACCTTACAATTTAGGGCTTCCATGTCGTCAAGATCGACCACCCTTCCATTAGCAATGGGTTTTCCTTTCAAGGTGATGAAAAAAATCCCTATTTGGAGAATCCCAGAAATTCAGGTCAAACTCTAGGGAGCTAGAAAGATCCATCTTAGATTTCTTTGGAGTGGAGGAAACAAGGGGGGGGGGGGTCTTCTATAGGTCGTTTTCCTAAAGTTTTTCCTCCTAAGATCCGAGAATGGTCAGACAAATCGCCCTGCAAGGAAGAAAAACCTTTAGAATGGTCGGACCCTAGGTCTACTTGTTCTGGGGGCATAGAAGGGGGCTTTGCTCTGGAGCGGGTACTTTTGCTAGTAGAGGCAGAGGGATTTTTGGGGTGTTTAGCCATTGAAGGATTTTGGTTTGGGCAGAGCTTCTGAGAAGAGTTTTCTATCACATAGAGACGATGGAGATTGAAAAGAGATTTCAGCCTTAGAAAGAGGGATTCTAAAAATTCTGACGGTAGAGTACAAAAAAGGAAAAGGCGTCGGTTGCGCAGACATGATGATTGGATTTCCATCTTTGAACGTCGCAACTGATGTTAAAAGAAAGGAAAAAAGAGGGAATACAGGGGCGCAATTGATGATAAAATAAAAATAAAATATTAGGCATATAAATTAACCCGATTGCACATAAGTCCTAAAATTTATTATTAATGCAAATAATGCCAAGTAATTCTCTTAAGGCACGAAACCTATCATCTAATAAAGGCTTAGTAAAAATGTCTGCTAATTGATTAGTTGTTCCAACAAAAGATATTTTTATGTTTCCTTTTAGAACATGATCTCTAATAAAATGATACTTGATGTCTATATGCTTTGCTCTAGAATGATGTACAGGATTTTTTGAAAGACATATAGCACTAGAATTATCACAGAAAATTTGAATAGGCTTAAAGAATAATTCGTAGTCACCAAGTTGATGAGACATTCACAGTAGTTGTGCACAACATTGTCCAACAGCAATATACTCAACTTCAGTTGTGGATAGTGCAACTGATCCTTGTTTTTTACTATTCCACGATATCAATGCTTTGCCAAGTAATTGACATGTTCCACTTGTGCTTTTTCTTTCTTCGTTATCACCTTCAAGATCAGCATCTGGAAAACATTCTAATTTAAATATATTAGAACGAGGATACCATAATCCATGAGAGACAGTTCCAATGAGATATCGAATAATTCTTTTTACTGCAGTCAGGTGAGATTCCTTAGGAGCTGACTGAAACCAGGCACATTTACAGACACTAAACATAATATCCGGTCTACTAGCAGTTAGATAAAGAAGAGAACCAATCATTCCACGTTACTTAGTTTCATCAACAAAATTTCCCTGTTCATCTTTGTCGAGACTTGTTGAGGGACTTATTGGTGTGCCAATAGCTTTGGCATTGCTCATACTGAATTTTTGGATCAACTTCTTTGTGGATTAGTCTGACATATGAACGTTCCTTCTTCAGATTGTTGAATCTGGAGTCTAAGGAAGAACATTAGTTCTCCCATCTTGCGCATTTCGAACTCACCTTGCATAAGATTTGAAAATTTCTTGCACATAAGAGGATTAGTACTACCAAATATAATATCATCAACATAAATTTGAATAATGAGATTACCTTCTGATGATATTTTAATAAACAGAGTACTGTCTACTTTACCTCTTGTAAACCCATAATCAATAAGAAAAGAGCTTAATCTTTCGTACCATGCTCGTGGAGCTTGCTTCAGTCCGTAGAGTGCTTTAGTTAGCTTATACACATGATAGGGAAACTTTGAGTCTACGAACCCAGGGGTTGCTTCACATATACCTCCTCTTCAATGAAAAACCATTTAAAAAGGCATTTTTAACATCCATCGGAAATAACTTGAATCCTTTAAAGGATGCATATGCCAAAAGAATTCGCATAGATTCCAGTCAAGCTACTGGGCAAAGGTTTCGGCATAGTCGACTACTTCTTGTTGTGAATTCTTGATCAACTAATCTGGCTTTGTTTCTTACAACTTTTCCATCCTCATTGAGCTTATTTCTGAAGACCCACTTTGTTCCTATTACAGGAACGTTTTCACGTTTGGCTATCAATTTCCATACTTGATTTTTGTCGATTTGATCTAGCTCTTCCTGCATCTCTTGCATCCAGCTTGAGTCTTTAAGAGCTTCCTCTATTTTCTTTGGCTCAATCTGAGAGATCAGTGCTATGTTTGCTTTCTTCTTGAGAGCTCCCCTGGTTTTCATTCCTTCATTTGGATCTCCTATGATGAATTTTTGAGGGTATTCAGGTTCACTTCTCCATTCTTTTGGGCGGACTGTATGAGTAGTCGAATCCTTCGGAGGTTCTGGTGGATTATTGCTGGTTTCATTAGTTGATTCTATCACAATGTCAGATCCATCAGTCGACTTTTGTGATTTGCTTGTCTTCTGACTTTCTTGAATTTGATCTTCATAACCTGCAATAATTCCTTTCTCGACCGAGGAGTTACTTTCATATAATACAACATGCACAGATTCTTCCACACAATTGTGCGTTTGTTATACACTCTAAAAGATCTACTATTTAATGAATAACCCAGAAAAATACTTTCATAACTTCTTGGATCAAATTTTCAAAGATTGTCCTTACCATTATTGTGAATGAAACACTTACTTTCAAAGGGATGAAAGTAACTAATATTAGGATGTTTACCTTTCCACAGTTCATAAGGAGTTTTCTTCAAAATAGGCCTTATCAGACATCGGTTGAGAATGTGACATGATGTACTTACTCCTTCTGCCCAGAAATGGTTTGGTAGTGAATGGTCTAGTAACATCGTTCTTGCCATATATTGTAATGTTCTATTTTTCCTTTCCACGACTCCATTCTGTTGGGGCGATCTTGGTGCAGAGGAATTATGAGTATATCCTTGATCATTACAAAAGTCTTCGAATGCTATGCTTTCAAATTCTCCTCCATGATCACTCTGGATTGTTGTAATCAGGCACCCCTTTCTCTTTCAACCTTCTTACAGAAAACCTCAAAGTTTTTCACCGCTTCATCTTTATGAGATAAGAAAATCACCCAAGTAAAACGCGAGTAATCATCAACAATAACAAAAGCATATCGTTTTCCTCCTATGCTAGTAATTGTAGTAGGCCCAAATAAATCCATATGAAGCCAGAGGTTTAGAATTAAATACAATATCTTTGTTTTTAAAAGACTTTCTAGTTTGTTTTCCAATTTGACAAGCATCACATATATGATTTCTAGAAAAATTCAGTTTAGGTAAGCCAATAACTAGCTCATGCTTGGAAAGTTTTTCTATCAGATGCATGCATGACCAAGTTTCCTATGACATAACCAGAGATCATCAAATATGGAAGTTAAACAGATATGACCATCTATATTTTCAAAACCGTCGAGAATGTAAACGTTTCCATACCTTTTACCTGGGAGGATTATTTTACCTGTCTCATCTTTAATAGCACAACCTTTTTTCTTAAACTTTACCTCATATCTCGAGTCGCGTAACTGACTTATGCTCAGAAGATTGTAATTAAGCCCATCAAATAGATAAACTTCAGTGATATCACAGTTGTTATTGAAGGAAATTGTTCCGGTACCGATTATTTTTCCTTTGAGTCATCGCCAAACTTAATGCTTCCTCCATCTATTTTTGTAACTTACTTGAATAGGTTTTTATCACCTGTCATGTGACTGGAACACGCACTGTCTAAGTACCATTTTCCTTTGCGACATCTTCTGTGGTGTTCCTGCAAAACACAGTGATTACTTTCTTTTAGGTACCCAAGGTTGCTTGGGTTCTGGTTGGTTAGTGTTACTAGGTTCAGAATTGTTTTTGGGTTTCCAAATCCATCTGAAAAATTTGACTTACGAAATCGACAAAAAGAATATGTATGTCCACTTTTATTGCAGTAGTGATACGTAATTCCTGACCCATTTTTGGGTCTTTCATTAGTGTTAGTACTAGTGGACTCAGTTCTGGCTGGTCCTTTTCCAGTTGACTTGTAAGTCACCTGGTTTGACCTGATAGAACTATGACTGGTGGATTTGCGCATGCCATTGAGTTGCATTTGAAATTCCTCAAACCCTTCTTGAAGTACTTCTTTTTCGATTTCACATACTTCATGTTTGAGTTTCCAGTCTTTTACTTCTTTGATGAGTCTCTTTAGTTCATTCATCGTTTTTTGAGACTCTTTCAAAGTGAGATCAAGAATATCCTGCAATTCATTACATCTTTCACAATTATAAGACCTTACCTTTTTTGTTTCACCTCAAGCCAACTTCCAAATGATTTGTTTTTGTTGAAACCTCTGGAGATTTTTCTTTTTAGATCTGGACACTCGGCTTGACTATGTCCAAATCTTCCACACTCATAACATTTTCCGTCATTCTTATCTTGTTCGTTGTATTGCCTGGTTCGCCTAGGCAGTATCCTTCCTCTTCTTGTATTCCTAAATCTTCTCATTAACCCGTCCATATTTCTTGAGATCTTCACGATTTCTTCTTGAAGAGTTTCAGGATCATCATTGATATCATTCTCAACTATCTCAGTTGTGGCCTTAAATGCAACTCTTTTCTTGTTTTCTTCTTGTTTTGTTTTCTTGAGATGTGTCTTGTCAAAAGCTATGAGTTCTCCACGAAGTTCATCATAAGACAATTTATTCAGATCCTGTGATTCAAGTGTGACTACTTTAGTTTGTCAAGTGGTTGGTAAGCTTCTAAGAATCTTTCTAACTTGATCACCACTTGAGTATGGTTTGTCGAAAGCTTTTAGATCGCTAATGATTTTACTGAATCCGGCAAACATCATCTCAATGGATTCGCCTTCTTTCATCTGGAAGAGTTCATAATCGTGAATCAATATGCTAATATGTGTTTCCTTTACTTTGCAGGTTCCTTCGTATGTGACTTCAAGCTTGCCCCACATTTCTTTGGCTGTATCACAACTGGAGATTTTTTCATATTCTTCACCACTTATAGCAATATAGAGCAAATTTCTTGCCTTGTTGTTGACTTGCACAACCGCCATTTGCTCAACAATATATGAGTTTATATCTTCAGGATCAGCAAGAGGTTGAGCGGCAGCCGACAGAGGATAGTTTTCCTTTTTGATAACTCTTTACACTTTAACATCATACGACTTTGAATATATTTCCATACGCACTTTCCAGTGGGAGAAATGTTGTCCATTGAAGTATGGTAGCCTTACTTGGGAAGTTCCTTCTTGAAAGAGTGCTCCTATGATAACTTGATTTGCCATGATCTTTTCTCACAAGCTGTTAATAAAAAAGAAAAGTGTGAGCCTTGATCTGATATCAATTGAAAGTACAAGGGGGGGTGGGGTGGGGGTGAATTGTTTATTTTTAAACTTAATAGCTATTAGTTGACTAGTTTTACAATTAGTCGACTAGATATAAGAACTTGATAATAGTAAGGACAGAATTTAAAATGCAGAAATTAAATGTAGGAATTAAGGACACCGGAGTTTTTATACTGGTTCGGATTCAATGTGAATCCTAGTCCAGTCCCCTTGGGTTGCAAGGGAGTTCTGTTTCAGTGAATGAGTTTCTTCGAGTACACAGAGAATGGTGTAATCTACACCGATAGCTTAAATCCTATATCACTCGTTTCTTTTGATACAATGCCTCACCAGTGTTGTTCTCCCTTTCTTCTCTAACTTGTTACACATCAGATCTAGTAGAGCTACAATATTTGTTTGCAGTAGAACAAAGAGAGAATATTTTGTTCGATCAAAGTATATGGCTCTAGGGTACAGATACAAGTTTAAATACTTTGAGAGAGGCTTGGTTTCTGGAGAGATTTGCCAACCCAAGAGATTTGATTCTTGGAAAGAAATTGATTCTTTCCAAGAATAAGGTTATACAACAATGGCTATGCTTGACGAGAGACTTGAATGATTTTCCATATATGCTTCCCAAANACTCTAGGGAGCTAGAAAGATCCATCTTAGATTTCTTTGGAGTGGAGGAAACAAGGGGGGGGGGGGTCTTCTATAGGTCGTTTTCCTAAAGTTTTTCCTCCTAAGATCCGAGAATGGTCAGACAAATCGCCCTNAGATGGTGCGATTTGATTCCTTAAGTCTAGGCTTTGATTGATTTCGTCTTGGCTTTGATTGATTTCTCTAATCTCGGATTGCTTTCCTTCATTTCCCTGATTGATTCCTTCATCTCGTAGCTATTCATTGATTCCTTGATCTTCTCTAATCTCGGATTGCTTTCCTTAATTTTCCTGATTGATTCCTTCCATCTCAAAGCTATCCATTGATTCCTTGATCTTCTCTGATTGATTACTTCAATCATTGAATGTTATCCATGAGTTCCTGTACATAGAACAAATATATTATTTGCATCATTAAAATCAGATCTAACACTATATACCTAGTATATTCTTCACGTAGATGGACTCATGGAAGTAAATAGCCATAATAACTTTTTTTTGGGTAGTTCGCTGTAGTTACACTACTGAAAAATTGGTCTACGGTAACGGTTGAAAAACCGTTCCCACAGACTGCCAAACCGTTGCCATAGGGATATTGGAACGGTTTAAAGCCCGTCATATCAGCCGGCGTACCCATAGGTCTACTGGAACGGTTCTTGCAACGGTTTGCATCGCCGTGACAATAGATACATCTATCGCAACGGTTTTTCCTTTCTCTGTTGGAACGGTTATTTTTCTCAATTGGAACTGTTTTAAACCGTTACTATATTGTTTATACAACGGTTCTTAACCGTTACCATATTATTTAAAGCAACACTTATGTAAGCTATTGCTACGGTTATGTTGGATATAGCAACGATTTCTTTATGCTATCGTAACAATTATATAGTTTTTGGAACAGTTTATGGGACCTATGGCAACGGTTTACATTGTCTACTGGAAAGCCATTTGTATCCTATTGCAACGGTTCTGGTAAGCTATTGTATCAGTTCGGTTAAAACCAAAATATAGCACCTGTTATATATAAATATTTATACATATAATAAATTATAATAACACTAAAATTTAAATACATCATAAAATAAAAGTATTAATAATACAAAATTATCCATCAAGCAAATAATATCCATAAAGCAAATGTTCTACCCCATGAGTGCATAAGTTTAGTACATTTCAAGAGAGTAAATAAGTTTCAAAAATATTGGTAACAAAAGATTCCTAGAACATTCATCTATAACAATTCAAAATTCATCTCAAGTAAGGTCTAGTTCTTCAATGT